CTCTACTAAAAATACAAAAAATCAGCCAGGCACAGTGGCACACACCTGTAATCCCAGCTACTCGGGAGGCTGAGTCAGGAGAATCACTTGAACTTGGAAGGTGGAGGTTGCAGTGAGCGAGATTGCACCACTGTGTTCCAGCCTGGGTGCCAGAGTAAGACTCTGACTCAAAAAAAAAGGGTCGGGCATGGTGGCTCATGCCTGTAATCCTAACACTTTGGGAGGCCAAGACAGGTGGATCACCTGAGGTCAGGAGTTCGAAACCAGCCTGGCCAACATGGGTGAAAACCCACCTCTACTAAAAATACAAAACTAGCTGGGCATGGTGGTGGGCGCCTGTAATCCCAGCTACTCTCGAGGCTGAGGCAGGAGAATCGCTTGAACCCTGCGGAGGTTGCAATGAGCCAAGGTTGCGCCATTGTACTCCAGCCTGGGCAACAAGAGCGAAACTCTGTCTCAAAAATGAAAGAATGAAAGAGACAGAGGGAAGGAGGGAAGGTGGGAGGGAGGAAAGGAAGGAAAGGAGGGAAGAAGGGAGAGAGGGAGGGAGGAAGGGAAGGGGGAAAAAAGAAAGGAAGAAAATGGGACACATGTTTGTGTGCTCCTAGAAAACTGTCTCATAGCATAACCAAAACTGTCACCTCAGCAATCCCTGGGGAGTGAGATGGGGTGGGGAAACCCTTCTCTCCCTGCCCCAAGGCTACTGCCCTTGCTCAGTAAGCAAGCTGGGGCCCTACCTCCTCCTTGCCAGCTCTTCACCTGGAGAACTTGTTCCTTGATCTTAACCTGACAGCCTCCTCACCATTCAGACCTTTGTTCCTCCCCTAACCACCTCATCCAAAGAGATTCCCTGTCACTGTTCATAAAATGATTCTGTTTTACTGCTTCCATTTCTCTCTGATATCACCTTGTTCATCTACAAGGTGGTCGTCTGCCCCTCCCATGTCCCATGCAGGCAGGAACCACTGTGTTTCCCACTGAATCCTCAAAGAAGGATGGGGGACGCAGAGCCCACAGATGCTAGCTGGTGAATGAATAAGGTCACGGGGGTGGCTTTTTACTTTGTACACGTTTATATTTAGCATTATTATTATTATTATTATTATTATTATTTGAGACAGAGTCTTGCTTTGTCACCCAGGCTGGAGTGCAGTAGTACGATGTTGACTCACTGCAACCTCTGCCGCACGGGTTCAAGCGATTCTTATGCCTCTGCCTCCTGAGTAGCTGGGATTACAGGCACCTGCCACCATGCCCAGCTAACTTTTGTATTTTCAGTAGAGATGCAGTTTTGCCATGTTGGTCAGGCTGGTCTAGAAGTCCTGACCTCAGGTGATCCACCTGTCTCAGCCTCCCAAAGTGCTGGAATTACAGGCATGAGCCACCACCCCCGGCCTATTATTATTTTTTAATGAGACAGGCTGGTCTCAAACCCCTGAGCGCAAGTGATCCTTCCACCTTAGCCTTCCAAGTGCTAGGATTTCAGGCATAAGCCACTATGCCCAGCCCTAAACATGTTTGTATTTTTTAAGTATTTTGAGATTCACATGCATTATTATTATTATTTTTTTTTTTTTTAAGATGGAGTTTTGCTCCTGTTGCCCAGGCTGGAGTGCAGTGGTCTGATCTCGGCTCACTGCAACCTCCACCTCCCCAGTTCAAGCGATTCTCCTGCCTTAGCCTCCCAGGTAGCTGGGATTACAGGCATGCACCATCACATCTGGCTAATTTTGTATTTTCAGTACAGATGGGGTTTTACTATGTTGAAAAGCTAGTCTCGAACTCCTAACCTTAGGTGATTTACTCACCTCCTGATCCCAAGTGATCTGCCCACTTCGGCCTCCCAAAGTGCCGAGATTACAGGCGTGAGCACCTGGCCAACATGCATTTCTTTTGTAAAACAAAAACAGAAAGTCTTCTTTTTCTTCCTCAAAAGAATCAGAAAGCTCCCTGGTGATCTAGTGGTTAGGATTCCAGGCTGTCACCACAGAGTTTTTTAAAACAAAAAGAATAGGCCGATCCTGTGGGTCAAGCCTGTAATCCCAGCACTTTGGAGGCTGAAGTGGGCAGATCGCTTGAGATCAGGAGTTCCAAGCCAGCCTGTCCAACATGGTGAAGACCCGTCTCTACAAAAAATACAAAAATTAGCTGGTTGTGGTAGCACACGCCTGTAGTCCCAGCTACTCAGGAGGCTGAGGCATGCGAATCGCTTGAACCAGGGAGGCAGGAGTTGCAGCGAGCCAAAATCGCGCCACTGCACTCCAGCCTGGGCCGCAGAGCGAGACGCCGTCTCAAAAAAAAAAAAAGAAAAAAGCAGGTTACTGCAGAGGACTCTACCCTCCCCAAACTGCCTTGGATTAAACAAGTGTCCAACTAAAAGCAATTCCCTCCAATACCAACTGGGGTACCTCTCGGGGTGTCCCGATTCAAAGGAGACAAAGAGCCGGGGTGGGAAATGGGGAGCGGAGAGAGGGGCGGTGTGGGGGAGGGGCGGTGTGGCGTGCAGTGGGTGCGCAGACAGTGCGGAGAGGGTGCTGGTAACGGGCCTGGGGAGCAGAAGGGTGCGGACCGGGAAACCGAAAGGGCGCGGGGTAACGAAAGCGCGCAGTGAAGGCGGGTGACAGAGGTGCACAGTGCAACGAAGGAGGGAGAGGGGATGACGAGGGCGACGAGGGACGGAGTGGGAGAGGGGGAAGGTGAGGGGACAAGGGTGGGGACAGGGGCGGGGCGGGATGGAAGTGGGGCGGCCTGCGCGAGCCCCGCCCCGCCGCCTACGTACCTCCGCCCGAGCCCGCGGGTCCGGAGGCTGCGCTTTCTACTGGCTTCCCTGCGACTCAGGTGGGTTATGGGCCCTGGGAACCGGCGCCGATCCGTGGGCGCGCCACAGCTAAGAAGGGGACCCTGAGAAGGGATCGGCCGCGGCCAAGGTCCCTGGAAACCCCGCCCCAGCTCACGCTGCCGACGGCGGCTGTAGAGGTTCTGCGTGAGGCCCGGGCTCCTGGACTTCGCCTTTCCCGAGCCCTGGAGGTGAGGAGGAGGGCTGAGCGGTTCGGTCCTGCAGCCCAGAGCCCCCAAGCCGCGCTTCCAGAAGTCGAAAAAGCCGTGAGTCTGGAGCCAGAGCCCTCTGCTCTAGTCCTAGCTACGCCACTGTGACCCCTTGTTTGATTTGGGGGTAAATTACTGCGCCTCACCGGGTCTCTGTCTGCCCACCTGCAAAATGAGAGGGTCTTTGGATGAGTCTCCTTAATTCATTTCCTGGACAAACTTCCTCCCAGCGACGCCCCTCACTAAATAACAACTTGACTGAACTTTGAACTCTGGCCCCTGGGGTTTCAAGGGGACAGCCTTATCCAGGATCAGCTGTCTAGGGAAAGAAGCTGCAGCAGCCTCTGGACAGCAGGCCGAGTCATTTGTTTCTTGTGCCTTGAGTCAGTTATCTCTCTTCGGCTCTCCTCCTAGGCTAGTGTTATTACCTCCAGTAAAGATGGAAAACGGGGGTTCAGAGAGGGCTAGAAACAGACAGCCTGCTCTGTCCTGTCTTTTCTGCTGTGCTGTACAGGTTCACCAATTTTTTTTTTTTTAAGACGGGGTTTCGCCGGGCGCGGTGGCTCACGCCTGTAATCCCAGCACTTTGGGAGGCCGAGGCGGGTGGATCACGAGGTC